AGTGTTTCCCCGTTTGCAACTTTGACTCCAAAAGGTTTTACCTTGGTTAATGGAATCTCAATTTATTTGGATAGCTCCTCGTCAATGAAGTTTAGTGTGGACCCACTATCAACCAATACTTCCACCAATTTTCCTCTCACTTCAGCCGTGAATGTGATCATCTTCGGTCCACGTTTCTTGCTTTTAACCATATGCAAAAAGGACTCCTCTCGTGGTTCTTCCTCTTCGTCAATTTCCAACAAAAAGACCTCCTTACCCTTGCACTTGTGGCCTGGCGTGAACTTTTCGTTGCACGAATAGCAAAGGCCTTTTTCTCGCCCTCGTTGCATCTCTTCGTCGGTAAGCCGCCGTATGTTGCTCGTCGTTCGAACGGTTTCTCCCAATGGCTTAATTTCGGCTCGCGCCGCTTGCTCCTCAGTCGTGCGCTTGGTCTCCGTGCGCACTTCACTCGGCTTCGCCTTGCGTGCTGCCATGAGATGATCTTTGTGCAGTCTAGCCGACTCTATGGCTGCTCACATCGATCCTGGTCTGTCCAACCTCACCTCGGCTGCCAACTCCGCCTTTAGTCCACCAACGAACGTTCCCACTAGCACACTCTCGGGCCAGTCCCGTACCTTACTTGCAATGCGCTCAAATTCTTTCTGATAATCCCTTAGACTACCCACTTGCTTGATTCTCGACAATGACTCATTGTAATCGTGGTAGTCACTTGAGCCGAACCTTGTGATGAGCTCTTTTTCGAAATCCCTCCAACGCATATGCTCACCATGGTTTTTATGCACAATCCATTGCCACCAAGCGTTTGCTTTTCGACTCATCAATACGGAAGTGGTCATCAACCCCGGTGAGTCCGACAATGATGATGGCGATGGTCTTGATATTTGGCTAGAAAATATGTTGGAGGAGCCATCTAGTCCTATTTACCGGCCATCATGTGTACGAGACTGGCCAAAAGGATGTGGTCCACAGGCTGAGTTAAAGATCAGGAAGCGCAGGACCAAAAGGACTCGAGGGAAACACAAGGCAAAAGCTAAAGAAGAGAAGTGTTGGTGCAAGCCTTGTGCAAGGAAAAGGCGAGTTCGCAAGATGGAGGCTCGAAGGCGAGGTAAGGAAAGGTTGGAAGATGGATGGTTTTGGCGTGCCGGAGATTGCATGAACATAGAGGGAAAGCGTATTGAAGGATGGGACCCATGGGACAAACCAAGGTCATCGAGCGAGCACCAGGAGTCGACTGGCGACGAGGGTGCGAGCACGAGTCAACAGCGCGCATCGTACCTTGATGCGCGCAAACATATGCGAGGGTATGAGATCAACGATCGGGGCACGCAAACGTCGAGCGAGGGCAGCAACCACGTGAGTGGTCGGGACGCGCGATGGTTGTCCAGCTGGGGCGAGGCGTGCGATGGGCGCGCGAGTACCAGCGACGCGGGCGAACGCCTAATTCGTGTGGGCATAGGCGTAGCTGGCGACGGTGAGGACGCGCGGGAGTTGTACAGCGGTAGTAGCAGTCGCGCGTTAGCGCACGAGTGCACAGTAAGCGCGGGCGTCCTAATCCGCAGAGAAGTAGGCAGGCCGGGTGATGAGGTACACGCGCAAAAAGGAGTCGGCGCCCAGCAGGGATGCGCGAGAGATGACGCGTGCGAGGGAAGCGGACGAGGCCTATGCCTCGAAGGAACCAGAGTGTCGGGCGCACACGCGTGGGAAGCATGCGACACGGGCGAAGGGCGCGAGACGGACAATGGGTGCGGGGCGCACGCGAGCGAAGCCGTGCGCGATCAAAATTAGGAAAGCCATGAGGCGGCGTGCGTGCAAAGAGGCGGCTGGGTATTTGGGTGATGGGATTTACTTGGTGTGCAAGTCAAGACAATTAGTTATTTGGCAGATTTAGGATTTTATTGCTTTCTAGAGTTAGGATTTATTTTATTGCATAGAATCGGAGATCTAGATCTATTAGGCTTAGATTTATTTTGCACCTATAAATACCCATGTACCTCTTCATTAATAAACATGGTGAGTCTTGGAATTGATGAGTGAATCTCATAGGGGGGACTTGTAGTTCTTACGTGTGTTTAAACAAGGCCGTTAGTGCGTGTTTACATACAGTGTCGGAGAGAAGGCCGTTAGAGCGTCTTGAAGTCACGGTATCTAGGAGAAGGTCGTAGTGCGTCTATTAGATATACCTATCGTGGATAAACGAAGGCCCTGAGTGCGCCGTTTGTTCACAGCCAACGTATAAATAACAACACCGAAACATTCTTCATTTTTTTTTTTACTCTAAAAAAATTCGAACAAAATAGGGGAAAAATTCGAAAAATCGAACCCCCAACAAGACTAAAAAAAATCGAAACAAAAGAAATTCGGCCCCTCAATAAAAGGTAATAACCGAACAAAAATCAACAAAGGACTAGATACACCTATTGTAACACCCCTCCTTATCGTTAAAATCAGAGTGCGAAAAATTCGCAAAGTCTTTTTAAAAGTAAATCTTTTACTTTGCGAAAACTGATTTGGGGTGCTACCGTAAAAACATGACTTAATTTGGAAACTCGTTATCTTAATTTTTAATAAAATCATACTATCACTGAAAGCATAAAATTTTCCAAAAATCCGTCAAAATATAAGTTCGTCAAAAGTCATCATCAGCGGAACCGTAAATCATCATATTATATATACAATCAAAACATGAAAGTCCTGAAGCCTTCGTCATCTCACACTCCCGGCCCGACGTCCTGACCTGAAAAACATGATAAAAGTGGGAAATGAGCACTATGGCACTGTGCTCCGTGGAAACTCATACTAATGTAAACATTGAAAATAATAACAACATCATGATATCGGCATATACATAACCTCAACATGAAACCGGTAATAACATGAACATGAATCTGATATCGTTACGCAATGTGACCCTGACCGTTACCTCATCTGCCGGCAAAAACTAATGTCGGACACCATGTGCACACTCTAGTGGGCAGACTAGGGCCACTAGAACCCAGAATGGAAAGGCGACCATTCCGAGCGGATACCTCACATGAAATACATACCTCAAACATGGTACCGTGATTATAATCAATGTAGTACTTAGTCTGAGTCCCCACCTGAACTGCTGAAACTGAACGGTAGTGCTGATGCCTGATCAAACTGAAAATAATATAAACAATTACTAATGACTATGCTCAGACTGTTAACTTAACTGATTAATTTCGTTAAGATGCTCTACTGAACCTGACATGAGATTTAGACTTAACCGGAATAACCAGAACATGAAATGATCGGACATGAATTTACTGAACTGAAATTATCCCAGAAATTTAACTGAAAATACCATTAAAATCATGAACCGGGCTGGAATCAAAACATAAGAACCGAACCGATTTAAACATGGGACCGAACCGGTCCAGCCGGTCTGAACCGGTCTGGACCGGGTTTCGAGAACCACCCTCAGATGCTCCTCGTGCTCCTTCTGGCTCTTCGAGTAGATAAGAATATCGTCAATAAAGACAATAACGAACTGATCGAGGTAGGGATGGAAAATACGATTCATGAGGTCCATGAAAACAGCTGGAGCATTGCTGAGACCGAATGGCATGACGATGAACTCGTAATGGCCGTAACGAGTCCTGAAAGCGGTCTTAGCAATATCTGACTCCTTAATCTTCAGCTGGTGGTAGCCTGATCGTAAATCAATCTTTGAGAACACAAAGGCTCCCCTCAACTGATCAAATAAGTCGTCGATCCTGGGAAGCGGATACTTGTTCTTGATCGTCAACCGGTTAAGATCCCGGTAGTCGAAACACATGCGCATGGATCCATCCTTCTTCTTGACAAAGAGAACGGGTGCTCCCCACGGTGACACGCTCGGTCGGATGAAACCGAGTCGTAACAACTCCTGAATTTGAGTCTTAAGCTCCTGAAACTCCTTAGGCGCCATACGATACGAGGCTTTAGATATTGGACCGGCCCCTGGAATAAGATCGATAGAGAACTCCACCTGTCGGTTAGGCGGTCCTCCTGGAAGCTCGTCTGGGAACACGTCCACAAACTCACGAACGATTGGAACATCATGAGGTGAGCGTGCTTTCTGAGAATCATCAACAAGGCTCACCAGATAACCCTGGCAGTTGCCTCGTCGCAGTAACTTAGTGGCTTTCGCCATCGAAACAACATGAGGCAGTGAACGATTCCTGGAGCCAAAGAAAGTGATCGACTCGTCTCCCGGAAGATAGAGAGTAATCTTCCGGTCATGACACCTGATGTCTGCATGATAGAAAGATAGCCAATCCATTCCAAGAATAAGGTCGAAATCCCTCATCTCGAGAACAAACGCGTTGGTAGATAATAAACGACCACCGATGGAAAGGCTAAGATCTGAGGCTTTAGCTAAGGTCACTATCTTCCGTCCCGAGGCTAAACTCACCTCGAGAGGGTTGACAGCGGTAACGGCATGAACTCCAATGGCATCCATACATCGTCGTGATATGAATGAATGCGTTGCTCCAGTATCGAACAAAGCGAAAACAGAAATATCATTAAGCACAACCATCCCTGACATAGTACCTGACTGCTGTGCTGCCTCTGCCTGATCAACCGCATAAACTCGGGCCTTCTGTCTGCCCCTCTGCTGCTGCTACTGAGGCTGCCTCTGCGCCTGCTGACGTGGCTGCTGCTGCTGTGGTGGCTGCTGAGGCTGCTGGGGCTGCTGTTGAAGTCTCTTCGGACAGCGACTCGAAAAGTGTCCAGGCTCGTGGCAATAGTAGCAGATATCCTGACCCATATGGCACTCTCCTTGATGAAGTCGTCCGCAAGTCGGGCACGGTGCAACCTGCTGCTGTCTCTGTCGGGTCCTCCTGTCAGTCTGTGCACCCTTCCCCTTCCTCTTCTTCTCCTTTGCCGGCTGAGCAGCTGGTAGGGCTGGTGGAGCTGCGAATGGGGACTGCTGGGTAAAGCCCGTCGATGAACCGCTGCGCTCTCTGAGCCTCCGTGCGAACCAGGTCCGGTACGAAAGCTGCAAGTCTAGTGAACTCTCGCTCGTACTCATCAATCGTACGAGTGCCCTGCTGGAGCGCTAAGAATTGACGCTCCATCTCTGCCCGATAGTAGGAGGGGTAGTACTTTTCGCGGACTAGCTCCTTGAGCATGTCCCATGTACATCCTGCTTTCTCACCGGGACGCATGCTCCAGTAGGCATTCCACCAGAGTCTAGCATCACCAGTGAGCTGAAGCTGAGCGCAAACTACGCGATATCTATCGGGGCAGTCCATGACCTCAAAGATAAACTCCAGGCCCTGAATCCATTCATCTACAATGCGGGGATCTCCCTGCCCTGAGAACTTTTCAGCATGATAGTCGCGGAACTGTGCGACTACCGTAGCCTGAGTAGGAGCCGGATGATCGGGTTCCCTACGTGGCGCCATCTGAACATTGAGAAAGTTTAACATTACTGAATACTTGATAACATTCTGACTGATTACTTAGGCACACAGATCTCTTGACGAGTTGCTAAAAATGGTCGATAATTACTGACATGAATCCTGAAGAACTCTAGAGTCATATCGAAAGATACTAAAGTCTAGAGTCATATCTGAATGCCCTGAATTCTAGAGTCATGTCCGAACTCTAAAGTCTGAACCTGATTCGAGCATCTTAACTAAAGTCCTGATCCTTAATTCTGAGCATAGACAAAGTAATATGTTTATAACTGAAAACATAAATCAGCACTTACCTGTCGTCGGCGGGGCGTGAGCATGACGGTTCAGGTTTTTCTGAAAACTTTTCTAACTGAAAAACTTTTTCAGAGACGTAGAAACGTGCTCTGATACCAATTGTAACACCCCTCCTTATCGTTAAAATCAGAGTGCGAAAATTTCGCAAAGTCTTTTTAAAAATAAATCTTTTACTTTGCGAAAACTGATTTGGGGTGCTACCGTAAAAACGTGACTTAATTTGGAAACCCGTTATCTTAATTTTTAATAAAATCATACTATCAGTGAAAGCATAAATTTTTCCAAAAATCCGTCAAAATATAAGTTCATCAAAAGTCATCATCAGCGGAAACGTAAATCATCATATTATATATATAATCAAAACATGAAAGTCCTGAAGCCTTCGTCATCTCACACTCCCGGCCCGACGTCCTGACCTGAAAAACATGATAAAAATGGGAAATGAGCACTATGGCACTGTGCTCCGTGGAAACTCATACTAATGTAAACATTGAAAATAATAACAACATCATGATATCGGCATATACATAACATCAACATGAAACCGGTAATAACATGAACATGAATCTGATATCGTCACGCAACGTGACCCTGACCGTTACCTCATCTGCCGGAAAAAACTAATGCCGAACACCATGTGCACACTCTAGTGGGCAGACTAGGGCCACTAGAACCCAAAATGGACTGGCGACCATTCCGAGCGGATACCTCACATGAAATACATACCTCGAACATGGTACCGTGATTATAATCATTGTAATACTTAGTCTGAGTCCCCACCTGAACTGCTGAAACAGAACGGTAGTGCTGATGCCTTATCAAACTGAAAATAATATAAACAATTACTAATGACTATGCTCAGACTATTAACTTAACTGATTAATTTCGTTAAGATGCTCTACTGAACCAGACATGAGATTTAGACTTAACCGGAATAACCGGAACATAAACTGATCGGACATGAATTTACTGAACTGAAATTATCCCAGAAATTTAACTGAAAATACCATTAAAATCATGAACCGTGCTGAAATCATAACATAAGAACTGAACCGATTTAAACATGGGACTGAACCGGTCCAGTCGGTCTGAACCGGACTGCCGGTCGACTGAACCGGCAGTCGGCATCGGCCTGGCCAGTAGCCTGTCGCGTGCTGCACACAGCGTGCACGGGCGCTGCTGGCTTGCTGCGGTTGCTGGACCCGTCTAGCTACTGCCGCGGACACTGGCGACAACACTGGCACGGACAAGCACTGTCGGGCGCTGCTGTGCGCTGTCGGCAGGTGACTGGCGCGCGGGTTGCGCGTACTGGACTGACTGGACGTTCGGCGGGCTACCGGGCAACACCGAGACCTGCTGAGCACATATGGCACGCTATCGGGCGTGCTGGTGTGCGTCAACACAACTTGCGCGCACTACTGACTGCTGGCTGCTACCGCGAGTGTAACGCCCCACTTTGATTTTACAGAAATTTCGAATTTTTCCAAAAACCAGTATAAAATTTTCAAAATCATTTTCGAAAATTTAGTGGGTGTTAAACAACTTTTTCATAACCTAAGTCTTATCTGGGCCTACGGGGATTCATTACCCGGTTTTCACAATCGATTTTCATTAACCAACATCAACTCATGAAATAAATAATCAAACATCAATCCCATAACAACCAA